ACTATATCACTTCTAAATTCATGATTTTTAACTTTGAAGCTAATACAATTACATTTTAAATTTCAAAAGAACTAAATATAAACCGAAAAAAAAAACTACAATATGTTCCAACAGAGAAAAAAAATACTAATAGATAACTTTTATGCATAATGAATGCACATATATGTTAAATCGTTCAAGGTTTGATCTCCAGTCTAGGCTCAAAGCAATAACCAACGAAGGTTCTTAAATATGATCGTTTCTTTATTGGGTAGTTTTTTTGACAATCTCCAATGCTTGTCTCTCATATCAAATATGAACAGAGTAGGGGTACCATAGACATGGATGAAGATGAGATCCTCAACTCCACTACTAGCAAAAGTAACTTCAAACCTTCCAAAATGGCTGAGAAACTTCTCTGACATCCTTGTAACCTCCTTCCATTCTTTTCTATGAAACTCCCAAACACAAATTCCTTCCAGCACATCTGGCTTTTCTGGGTCTCTGATTCCCCCAATTAGAACCAATCGATCTTTAAGATTCATCAGGCGACAGTAAGCAAGGGGACTCGGTGCCATAACCATTGTTTCCATGAATGACTTGCATGAAGATTTTGAATCAAGATCATACATGATGAGCCCAATACGGTGTGCATTGCTCTCCGATAAAGAGTGAATTAGAAAGTAAAGGATTCCATTGCATATCACACTTTCATTACCTCCTCTCCATCCAACCAAAACTTCATTGAATGATACAACTCTCCAAAAGCAACTCTTAGAATCATAAATCTGAATGGTAAAGTCCCAATGAAAGAACTCATCTGGCAATGAATTGGTATTAACCAATGTAACTATATAATCATGAGAATGTCTGTCCACTGATAAAGCCAATGCACTGTATTGTGAAGGTTCTTCATTTAGAGGTTCCGGAAGCTGCTTCCAATCTCTTGAAATTGGGTTGCAAAGAAAAATTTTGTTTTGATTATAGTAATCCGTGCAGGAAACCAATCCGCATGATGAAGAGATGAACCAATTATAATTTTCATGTGATAGGAAATCAAACCTGCACCAGTTCTTGAAGAGATCATAAATGTAGTCTGCATCGTTCTCGTCGGGCAACATGAAGTACCATGGTTTTTGGGGTGGCATATTGATCCATACATACTTTCCGGACTTTGTCATCTCATGCCAATACTTGCAGACACATCCTGCACTCATTATACTGTCTATTGGCAGAAAAGAGAAAATTTTTAGCCATACATCGTCAGGGAGAATGGTATATGTGTCTTCAATTTTAAGCTTGTTTTCTTTTTCAAAAGCTTCGAAACCAGGTTCGTCAATTCTGACACAATCCATGCTTTGCAATTATAATCCTAGTAAGCGACACAAGTGAAATAGACATGATTAGTTTGGTGTAAGACAAACTCAACAATCCACGAAAAATGAGATGGAAATTCGTATTAAAAAATTGTTGTCATGAACCAAAAATTCATGTCCGAAACTATCACTTGTGTTATTTTCTTAAACTATTAAACTCGTACATTTATATGTGTTCTGCTAAAACCGTTAAAATTTTGATGAAATTGGTAAAAGAGTGCAACATGGTGGTCATTTTGTAAATAGGAATGTTTCAAGTGTTGTATATGTAGTTGCCCCACATCCAAATCCACGATATTAATATTGAGAGCTCGATTTAATTATATCCTAAATAAAGTAGGTGAGTATAACCGCCGCATGTCCATTTATGAATAAAAAACAACGCAGCTAAATACACATTGATATTAAAACGAATAAATTCATAGATGGTAAAGCAAAAAACACTTTATGCCCCACATCCTTTTCATATAATATTCTATTTAACTAAAAAAAAGTTTAACTTATATATTCAATGATACATGATAATGTAGCATGAAACTCATAAAATGATTATTCCATATTAGACGTTGATATAAGAATTTAATTATTCTCTGGTTGGTATAAGAATTTAAGCATTCATATAGAATATAAAACTTTTAACTCCATATGAAATACCAAGAACAATAAAGTCTTGTTTGATAGCATAATTTAAATAGATTTAATCATGAATTTAACTTAAATCAGTCAAACATACAAAAAAAAAAACATAAAAATTAAATCCAACCTTCCATTAAATCAAATTTTTTGTATTATGTTAGTCTTTTTCATGACATAAATTCCAATTTACTAAATCCAATTGTGAGTCGGATTTAAAATTTTCTTCCGCCTTTAACGGCAAGCTTGTCTACGTCGCTCAAAATATCAAATTTACTAAATTTGATAAATATTATTTAATATAAATTAAATTTGTAGCCAAACATGACCAAAACAAAACAAAGCACAACTTCCATACATACCTCAGGCTAATAATTCAACTAAATCGAAATATATAGAGAGAGGGAGAAGAAAATCATGGGGGTGGGAGAAGAGGAATAGGGCGTGGGAGAGAGAAGAATGACCTCCGCAAATTTTTTTTATTTTAAGAATATAAATATATATATATATATATATAGTAAATTTAAATAAATGATAATTGTTTTGAAGCCTAGCAGTGTCGTTTGACACGCCATTATAGCTAAATACATCTCAAAGTTCTAATAAACTTGCTACATATAAATTTGGATCCTCAGATGGGGTTCCGCCAAATTGGTTATTTGCACCATTTGGATAATAACAACCTTAAGTTCAAATTTGTTAGTTTCTACAGCAGGGGTTTGAATACTTAAATTGATTTTACATATTGTAGGATTAGTGTAATCCCTTACTTATCTATTCAATTTATGATGACCATTAATAAATTCATTGGTATCTACATTAATTTGTTGATTGTTCGCTATTTTATCTACAAGTTCATTAAGGGTCCGTTTGGGGCAGCTTATAAGTGCGGGCGGCGTTTTCAAAACGTCGCCGTACTATTTGGTTCGTGCGTTTCTCCAGCTTATCCAAAACTGCGTTTGAATTTTTACACTAAACGCAGGTCGTGGGTCGACCCCTGCGGCCAGCCCATGGGTCGCGTTTCAGGATAAACAGCTTATCCTGAAACGCACAAACTGCCCCAAACGGACCCTAAGCATATGAGAATATAGCATGAAACTCATAAAATGATTATTTCATATTAAACGTTGACATAAGAATTTAATTATCCTCAAGTTGGTATAAGAATTTAAGTATTCATATAGAATAATAATCTTTTAACACAATATGAACTAGCCAGAACATTAAAAACGTGTCTAATAGCATAATTTAAATAGATTTAATCACGAATTTAACACAAATTTAGTCAAACATAAAAAAAAAAAACATAAAATTTAAATCCAATGTTCAATTAATCAATTTTTTTCTAAAAATTAATTTAATAAACTAAGTTCTTTACCCACATTCGTCTGTAATTTGAAAACCCTTGTTTATTTGACACCATATCATACACTAAAGTAACAACCCTTGTAAACATTTCACTATATTCAAGTCATACTGCATGACGCTCTAACATTTACACAAGCTTAAAGAATTCATATCATAAACAAATTTTATGTTGATTGTTGACTATCTAATACAATCCTACATTTTTCACATCTGAAACTTGGGACTCACTAATGACAATATTTTTACTCATCTATACAAATAAAATAAAATAAAATAAAATAAAATAAAATGATATTTCAGTATTATAGATTAATTTATAATTGAACTTTTTTAGAAAAGAAAGGGGTATAATTGAGGATATAATTTTAATTTCGACGACATAGTGGAACATCATGTGATGATTGCACTTTATTTGTCACATGCAGTGTTCTTCTCAATGTTTTGTCCTAAGAAAAATCACCACGTACGGTTAGAAAACTGTTGCTGCACGCTATTAATGTTCAAGCTTCAGAATGTTCTTCGAATCCTTTAAATCGTCAGCTTTTGCGATTTTGCTGCTAATTTTTCTCAGAAGGAAGATTCTAAAAATGATCAGTGTTTCATTGGCTTGTTTAGCGTTCCCTTTTTTTAGCGTCTTTTGCAAGGATTACAGGTCTTCATTCTGTACAAGGAAGATTTACATGCAAAACACACAATTCATATATAATTACACAAATAACACAAACTTACATTTTTTGCGTATATGCCAACTTATGCATGAGAATGAGCATTTCACTTTTTTGTTGTTAAAGTATAGACATTTTTTATGCCATATGAAAATTTTGGGAGAGATAAATGTAAGCAAATGAAGTTGTTAGATATATAAATACAATAAGAATTGGGTGGGAAGATTCTAAATACCCCTTTGAAATATTTTATGGTAGCCGGTAGGAAATAAACACTTCTATATAAATATTTTTTCGTTGAATGCATTACAATATGTACACAAACTATACTAGAATGATACTGCCATTCTCCCCAAACCGGAGCTGTGGCTTCCAAAGCTATCAGTCACCAGAATATTTGAAAGAAGTGGAGACCTGAAATTTAAGCATTTTTATACATTGTATGCAACAATTATGGAAGTATTTTTTCTCTTGGTAAATCAATTGTTGATTAGATGACAGAATTGCTACATGGAAGGATAATCTATGTAAAATTAATGTATAGGTACGTGCATAGGAATTAGGTGGTATGTAAGTAAATGCCACCATTTAAAAAATACAAAAGCAGCTTAAACTATAAAGAAAAAAAGCAAGAAAGAGCTTCATCAGAGTTAACGAAGCTATTAAAAAGACTCTTATAGACTCTTAATTTCTTACACCCGAAATCCCTGTGTATTCACATAGCATTAGCAACGGAGCTATCAAAATCGCAATGTTTTATCCTCAGAAAAATTTTAGGAGAAAGAATAAGAAAATACCTTGGCCTTTAACTGCTCCAAGCAAAACTGAAAAAAGAATTCACATCTTATTCCAGACCTTAAATCTGCTGATTCGTTCAAACGGTTTCCGCCATTTTGCCAGAAAAGGATCCTGGATGCTGTCATGAGCAGATTCATCCAGAAGTTTGCCGTTCCAAAACAAACCACTGGCAGCGAATAACCCCGGCCGGGTTTATGTAACCACGACCTCTAGAAACAATGCCTCCTCCGTAGCCATTGGAGAAACTCATCTTAACAGTTTTAGCTGAGTTAGGCTCCTGCCGCTGCTCTTGACCATTCTTTGGCCGACGGGCAAAATATTCTTTGGTGATTGGAGCTTTCTCATCCGATTGCATAACATCAACCATGCCAAATGCTTCCCAATCCACTCGCTGCCAGAGTCCATATCCACCCTCAGCTTTATGTGTGAAGTAATACTGCAAATCAAAGGTATGTTCTAAAGCTAGTTTGTCTGCTAGGATTTTGAGCTCCCTTAGCCTATGGCTAATCTTTGAAGAAACTGGATCATATAAAATACCCCTAGAGACCTCTTCCGTATCATCAACAACCAGGTCTTCTAGCGGTATTGGATCACCAACAACCACTGTAACCTGCAGGTAAATATAGTAAAGCAATCTGTTGTGCGGTTTCTTTAACGTTACAAGAAACCTAATAACAAAAGGTTCTTCTGATCGTATGCTAAAATCAAAAGCAAAAGATGAACATTGATTACCTTTTTGCCAACCTTCGGGAAGTTTGAACCAATAGGCATGATTTCTTGCATGCCTAAATGCACAAATGGGATGACTATAGGAATTTTATCAGCATCCATAACCAGCCTGTAATAAAAACAATATTAGCATGAAATGGAAGAAAAATAATAATAAAGAATGAAAACAGGAAGCTATGGCCACTGATGTGAAATTGCTAATCTGGCCTTTGGTTTGCAACTGGATTTATGACAGTGCGGTGGAACTTGATGCTGGTAGTTTTTTCTAGTTTTGTGGTAGGTATTGCAGCTCACTGACAGTGTAGCTATGTTAAAATGCTGATCTTTTATTTCTTCCTATTTTTAATTATTGTAAAGGGATTTCGTAATTATAAAATGAGCATCACAGGCAACTTTAAAATCACAGTTAGAAGGGCAATTCATTCAAACTCTCTGCCTGCTTAGCAGCCAAAACATTTTCTGGAGAGGTCTCTTGGAATGCTCGACTTCGTGACTTCTATTCCTTTGAATAATCATTGCATTGTTTTGTGCATTTTACTAGTTTTGATACAACTTGTATTTCTACTATAGCATGCTTTTGAATAAATTGGATAATCAGTATAATATCAAATTTCTAAGCATTTTTTCTAATGAACGCCTATTAAATTGGGTTTCTTCTGACTTTTAGACTTCATCCAGGTAATGAAAGGTGTCCAAATTAAAGATTTTTAATATATTAATTTGAGCAAGTTAACATGATTTTTGCATTACATAATAGATTGTATTAACAAGTCTTATACTCTAAAATCTTCAACAACAAATTTAATGAGTCTTAAGGTTGCATCACAAATGTCTTCAGTCTTCTAGACATGCTATATTAATTAGGGATTAGTAAATAACATAAGAATTTTGTTACGCCTGGAACTGAACATGTCCTTAATGGACCGGTCTAAGGCCAACAAACCAGCCCGCAGCAGAAGGAAGCCGGTCAATTTTCTTCACCTGAAGCAGCCGAGCGCCGGTCCACTTCGCAGGAAGCAGCCCAGCAACCCCATGCCGTGGCAGAGGAAGAAAAAGAGAGGGTAGAGCTCAGTAGGGCCATAATCACATACTTGAGGAGGAGAATTCGAGCGGAGTTTGGAAGGATGTTTAGAAGGAAAGTTTTCCAATATTCTATGAGGATTCTATTAAGGGGGTAGCCTAGGGTTTATTTTCTTTCATGCATTATTTTGTTGGCTGCTGGTATTCTTCTTTTGGTGGTGTTCCTAGAGATATCTAAGGTGTGGGAGAGTCAATCTACCTCTCAAAAGTAGATAATCTTTTTTATCTTACTTGTTTTCCTATGATTTTCGTAAGAGCAGTTCTTGTTTGTGTTTCTTACACCTATCTATTACCGTTTCATTGTATTTTGTTAGCTGATTTTGGTAGCGAGGCATATCAAATTGGTATCAGAGCATAGATCTTGGTGGGATGGCAACAAAAAAAGTTGATGTGCTAGAAAGAGAGGTAGAGCAAATCCGATTGAATATGGAAGAAAGATTCCCTACTATGGAGGGAGATTTTCTTCGATTGAAAATTGAATGAATGATGGATTTGAAGGCATGTGAAAAATATGGGAGATGATCAAAAAGCTCATAGAGATGCAATCCAAGGCCATTCCGACCGCTCCAGTAGCAAACCTTAACCAAGGGTTGATCATGGAATCCTTGGCCAGGTCAAAAGAGAAGGACATCGAGCGAGAAAATAACGAAGAAGACATCATCTACCTACAAGAGCGTCCCCCTAGGGCTTCAAGAGGAGGGGGAGTGGAGACTTCCGATGGAGGAAGGTAGGCCGAAAATTAGAGAAGGGATGGTGGAAGGAACACGAAAGAGTATAATGGAAGAGGAGAGAATCGAGAGTGGGATATGCTTATGACCCCGCACGAGGGAGTTTCATCCTAGATACATGAGGAGAAATTTCAAAGGGAGAGGAAATTAGAGTAGAGATGCAAAGGTCAGGAAACTGAAGAAGCCAATCTTCGAATGGAAGGATGCACATGGATGGGTGCATTCAGTGAAGCGATACTTTGCAATCAACAGGTTGACTGAAGAAGAGAAACGCATTATGTTTGGAGGGTAAAGGCTTTAGCGTGGTTCCGGTGGATGAAGGCAAGATATCTAATGTACTGATGGGCGACGTTTAAGGATTGCTTGATAGAGCATTTCCAAGTTATTTGAGAAGGAGACTTACTTGAGCAATTCAATGCTCTGACTCGGGAGGGGATGGTTATGGAATACCAGGAGAAATTCGAGCTCTTGTTATAAAAGTTAAGGGAGATTCTGCAACAGAACTAGAAGGAAACTTCTTGAAAGGCGTAAAGCCTGACATATGAGCAGTCATTTGCCCCTTGATTCCGCGAGAATTGAGGGAAATGATAGAGCTCACCCAGGTGATGGAGGGTAAAAAACATATAAAAAAGAAATGCAACGTCGACAACATCGGAGGATTCTGCATAATTACCGAGATAGCCACGACATCGAGGACTCAGATAATGTCATTTCAGAAAGAGAAACCAAAGGAGAAGAGTACAAGACCTCGGCCCAATGAAAATTTCAAGCGTCTCACAGATGCAAAAGTGCAAGAAAAAAAAGTCAAAGGATATTGTGACGAGAAATACGCCCTAGGACACCGTTGCATGGAGCACACCCTTCAGGTGCTTTTAGTTTAGGAAAAAGTCAAAGGATATTGTGACGAGAAATACGCCCCAGGACACCGTTGCATGGAGCGCACCCTTCAGGTGCTTTTATAGGAGGAGGATTCAAAAAGTGAGGATCATAAGATAAAGCAACGGAGAAGGAGCATCTCCATTTGGATGCGACGGATGCGGGATTCACCCTGAATCACACCATGACAGTAAGGGGATGGATCGGGACTAGTCGGCGGTAGTGTTGGTGGATAGCGGGGCCACACAGCTTTATCTCAAATCAAGTTGTGGAGAAGCTGGGATTGAAGCTGGTGACTACAGAGAGCTTCAATGTCATGATGGGGACAAAGAAAGAGGGGAAAAGTCGGGGAATTTGCAAGGGGATAGTTCTGACACTACATGATCGACAGGTGCTAGAAAACTTCCTTTAGACTTGGGCAACATGGATGTGATTTTAGGGATAAAGTGCCTGCAAATATTGGGAGAGAAGAAGATGGATTGAAAGTCCTTGGCGATGGAGTTACAAGTGGAAGATAGGAAGTAGGAGCTGAGAGGAGATGCTAGCTTATGCAGAACCATGATATCACTAAAAACCATGGTCAAGTCGATTCGGGGAGCAGGACTGAGTTATTTAGTGGAGTTGCAGAGCATTGAGGAGATTTGAGATTCAGAGTTGGCAGAGTTTCCGGTAGAGCTCCAACAGCTCTGATAGCAGTTTACGATTGTCTTCAAGCTGCCAAGTAGGTAACCTCCTTCGAGGGAGCACGAGCATACTATTATGTTGAAGAAGGGTGTTTCTCCCATCAGTATTATAGACCATACAGGTACCCTAAGATTCAGAAGGACTAGATAGAGAAGCTAATCCAAGAAGAGAAGCTCGAGGCGGGGATTAACAGGCCAAGTGTGAGCCTTATTTCCAGTATCGACCTGTGGGTGAAGAAAAAAGATGGTAATTAAATATTTTGTGTGGACTTCTGTGCCTTGAACAATGGTATTGGATAAGTTTTCTACTTTTGTGATTGATGAGTTACTGGAAGAGCTTTATCGGGCGGTCATATTCTCAAAAATTAATCTCAAGTCGGGTTACCACCAGATTAGGATTAAACCGACGGATGTGCACAAAATAGCCTTCAGGACACATGAGTTCTTACTACTGTCATTTGGTCTCACCAATCCTCCAACGACATTTCAAACCCGTGTTTTTCAACCTTATCTCCGGAAATTTGTCTCGATTTTCTTTGATGACATTATGGTCTATAACCGTACAAAGACAAAGCAAGTGAGACACCTAAGAACAATCCTGGAGGCATTGAGGGAGCACCAGTTGTATGCCAACCAAAAAAAATGTTCTTGTGCACAGTTGTAGGAGTACCTAGGACATGTGGTGGCCAGAACAGGCGTAGCAGTGGATCAAGGCAAATTGGCCTTACTAAGGAATTTGAAGAAGTTGAGAGGATTCAATGGTCTCACCGGCTACTACCGAAAGTTCGTGAGAGAATATAACAAGATCTGACAGAGCAATTGAAGAAATACAATTTCAAATGGGGAGAAACAACAACAAAGACCTATGAACAACTAAAGAGGGCTATGACTAGCGAACCTACATTAACACTTCCAGGTTCCATTAAATCATTCGTGGTGGAGACAAATGTGTCCGGGTATGGATTGGGAGTAATGTTCATGCAGAATCTTCAGCCAGGTTCTTATAGCTAGAGGAAGGCTAAAGTTGGTATATGAGCAGAAATTGATGGCAATTGTCTTGATCATTTAAACGATTTTACCTGTTGGGACCACATTTATTGGTTAGGACAAATCATAATCATAGGAATTTAAAGTATCTTCTGAAGTAGCAGATGATGACTGAAAAATATCAGAGATGACTACCCAAGCTAATAGGGTGTGATTTCAAGATTCAGTCTTCTGAAGTAGCAGATGATGACTGAAAAATATCAAAGATGACTGAAAAAGCTAATAGGGTGTGATTTCAAGATTCAGTACCGACCGGAATTGGAGAACAAGGAAGCTGACGCAACCCAATTGAGACCCTATCAATATCCTTGGTCCTAGATTAGGAAGCCTTGAGACAAGCGAGCGAAAGGGATGAGGAGCTGAGGAAAATAAGGGTTGAATTACTAAAAGATCTGAATAGTCATCCAGGATATACATTGAGGGGATAACAGCTGCTCCATCAGGGGTAATTCGTGCTACCCAAGTCGTCATAATATATTCTCAGATCATTACAAGAGTTTCGTGGCAATGCGATGGGGGGATATTCAGCGGTGTAGAAGACGTACCATTGTATGGTGACAAAAACTTTATTGGGTGGGGATGAGCAGAGACGTGGACGTAGTGGCAAAATGTGATGTGTGTCAATGACATAAGTACTTGACCACGACTCCAAGAGAGTTACTACAACCATTACCATTACTGGAGAAGGTTTGGGAAGAAGTGACGATGGATTTTATCAAGGGGTAGGGTTCACGGTGATTATGGTGGTCGTGGATCGCTTAAGTATGCACATTTCATTGCCTTACGACATCCCTATAATGCGATCTTAGTTGTGGCGGTGTTTATCCGGAAAGTGGTTCGTTTGCAAGGGTGTTGGGATTGATTGAATCGGAAAGGGCCAAGGTGTTCCTCAATCACTTCTGGAAGGAGTTTTTTGGGTTGCAAGGTACAATCCTTAATAGAAGCATCACATATCATCCCCAGACCGATGGGCAAATAAAGACGGTCAACAGGAGTATGGAGACATGCATGCGTTGTTTTATATTTGATACACTGAAGTTAAGGGCTAAGTGAATTGCATAGAACTAATATTAGTATAACACTTTGTACCACACTGCAGCACGAACAACCCCTTTCAAGGAATTCTATGAGCTGGATCCACCTTTATTGATACTTTGTGGGCATAATACCACACCAGTATCCAGCTTCGATAAGTGCTTGAAGGAGAGGTACAGGTTACTAGCAGAGCTCACGGGGAATTTAATGAGAGCTCAACAAATCATGAAGAGAAAGCCGGTCAGACACAGAAGAGAGGAGCAATTTGAACCAGGAGATATGATCTACTTGAAACTGAGACCCTATCGACAAGAGACATTGACCAGGAGAAACGAGAAAATATTGTCACGATACTTTGAGTCTTATGAGGTGATAGTATGCATTGGGCCAGTGGCACCGTTTGAAGTTACCACTATCATTCGCACTACGCCCGATCTTGTATCACAGCTGAAACGAGCAATTGGTGATCATACACCTTCGTCTACACTACCACCAACGCTAATGTAGGACTTGGAGGTGATTCTAAAGTCGCTTGGGAATGAAGGAGTGTCTCAAGGAGTGGGGGGAGCAAAGGAGATATTGGTTAAGTGAAAAGGTTTGTCAGACTACGAAGCAACATGAGAGGCTTACGACGTGATTCACAACCAAAATTCATCCTTCCACCCTGAGGACAAGGTACTTCTTTGAGAGGGGAGTATTGTTACGCCTAGAACTAGACCGGTCCATCCAGCACCAATCGACGGCCAACAAATCGGCCCGCAGCAGAAGGAAGCGGGTCGATTCTCTTAACACGATGCAGACATTAAAATTCTCCACACTTAGAAAAGAGAAAAATGGACATTCTTATACACTCATGCACAAACACATGCATAAATAAACTAGAGCAGTAGCATGCATTAGAATATATAACAATGACTAGGATCAAATTTACAAGCATGAGCCTCATGATTGAGCTCTGTGAAGGAGAAAGATAGATGCATCATCATGATATGTGAATAAGAAAAGAGAGAGAAAGAGAGAGAGAGAGAGGTAACAAAAAAAGGACACAATCGAGTTAAAAAGACGTCATATTTCATACACTTTGAGCTCAACATATTTATATGTTGTTCTGCTCAAAATATTTCAAAAAGATTAAATAAAAGATGATATTCAAAAGTAACTCCAATTGAAAATTTAAAAAAAACTGCCAAAATAAATGAAATGAAATAAGCGACATTAAGAGGAACTAGAAAACATTATGGATAACTTTTCATAAATTTGTCAGCAGATTCAGATATCCAGGAGTTTAAAGAAGAATAAATTAGCCTTCAAATTGAATTAATTGAGTTAAATGAGCTCATTTAGAAATGGAGCCTCAATGATGATTAGCATGGCAGCCGACGTACCGAACGTAATCAAGCTTGGAAATGGCAACAATAGAAAAATCCTAATAGTTCTCAAATGTTGTTAATTAAGAGTCAACTTTCACATACAGAGGGAAAAAGTAACACATTATCATTCTAAAAGTACAAAAAAAAAACAAAATGATGACCAAAGTCCCGTTTGAGATCACATTTTATTTTTATTTTTAGTCTGTTTTGTTTTTGTTTTATTTTCTATTTTCAGCTTATAGAAAAGGCGTTTGGTAACTTTATGATTTATATATTTTTAAAAACAAAAAATATAAAGCATGTTTGGTTGGCCATTTTTTTATTTCTTTAAAGAAAAAATTATACTTTTTAAAAGAATAGGTAGATTTATCATTAAAATTTAATAATTATTTAGTTAATTAATTAAATTATTAATTTAAATTATTGAGTAATTAAATTCATAATTATTGTTAATTAATTAATGATTATTTTTTTGAATTATTATGAATTTAAGTGAATAATTATAAAAGTTAATTAAGTAAATTTATTATTAAAATTTTATAATTAGTTAGTTGATTAAATTTTAATTAAAATTAAATAATTCATCTGGTTATAATTTTTAAGTAAATTAAGTTCATTAATTAAATTACTATTTGAATTATTAATTAAATAAATTTTATAATTATTAAATTAATTAAGTTATTTAATTAAATTTTTATTAAAATTGTTAATTAATTAAAATTTATAATTACTAAGTTAACTGATTAAATTTTATAATTATTAACCTAATTAATTAAATTATTAGTATTAAGTTAATTAATTAAAATGAATAATATTTTATTTGAATTTTTATTGGTTTAATTGAATAATTATTAAGCTAATTAAGTATATTTATTATTAAAACTGTCATTACTTAAATTATTAATTGAAATTAAATAATTTAAAAGGTTCTAATTATAAAGCTAATTATGTTAAATAATTAAATTATTAATTAAAATTACAAATTAATTAAATTTCATAATTATTAAGTTAATTAAATAAATAAATTATAATTATTAAGTTAATTAATTAAATGACTAATATTTTATTTGAATTATTATTGGTATAAGTAATTAATTACTAAGTTAATTAAGTAGATTTATTATTAAAATTTTATAATTATTAAGTTAATTAATTAAATTATTAATTAAAATTAAATAACTAATAAGTTTATTATTAAGTTAATTAATTAAATTTTTAATTGAAATTATTGAGTGCCTAGCATGTTTTTCCTGTTTTCAAAACACAAAAAACAGCTCACTTGTGTTAGAAAATTAATTTAGAAAACAGATAGAAAAATGAACAAGTAAATAGTATTTTTCTGTTTGTAAACAAAAAACAAAAATTGATCCAAAACAGACCCAAGCAAATCGTTTTCTACTCACCTTCCAATTCCTCTCTTTGCAGGACCTATGGTTTTTCCACTGTCCCTAGAACGACTTCCCTCCGGAAAAATATGAACCCATCCACCATTATTTAGCTTTGACAGAGCCATATCCATCCCCTGAATGAAAAATCTTTACACATTGAAGATCTTTGGCAATGGCAACCATAATCAAACTTGAAAAACTACTAAGACAACATAAAAAGTTAGAATAACGATCATTTAAAATATGACTAAATGAAAATATCCATCATGGTTTTACATTGCTTTCAACCGAAAGTATAATTCCTACAAGTACGTAAAACAAAGCCAATGTATTTACCTTGAGGAAAGTAACAATGAGGAAAACATTAAAACATAATCGACAAAATTTCAGAAATTCCTACTTTATGATTACCTTACTCTCACCATATAAGATAACATCATATCACAACCATTATAAATTGAACTGCTACTTAAATTTGCTGAGACAAGTAAATCGAAAAATATTTATTTATGCACGTCCATGTAGGGATGGAAGGGTAGAGGCAATCACGCATGGAACTCTACCTAAAACAAATAAATAAAAAACATGATGTACCTTCTGATAAATTCCATCACCCCGAGAGACGGGCAAAACCTTAACACAACTAAAAAATGTAGACAGTACTGCATTTTTGAAGCAACGGTCAGTTGCACAAAGCGTCCACCTTACATTGCGAGCATCCAGCATTGCACTTGGAGGTAGCAATGAGGCAATCACAAGTGGATCATCCATAGAGGCTACATGATTGCTAACCTGACGTGCCAAGCAATAACAAAATTTAAATTTAAGAAAAAAAAAACATATAGGCAGAAAAGCTAAAAGTTCATTAGCATAAATGGTAAGAAAAGCAAGAGTTCGAAGAACAGAATAGATTTCTGAACATAAATATTAACCACGTAAACAAAATTTTGCCAAATAAATAAACAAAATCAGATTGCTATAAACGAGCAGTTTTTTACACGTTCTATAAAACAAATACACAAAGAATCATACCAGTTTTAAATGATCATCATAAACCATATTTCCTTTAATTTAACAAGAAGAAAAAGTAAACATTATGCAGACAAAAACATGTTTGCAGCAAAATGAAGGACTTCTACTTAGAGAAGCATTACTCAATCAGCTAAAGGGAATCAGCTAAAGGGTTAACCATTTAAAAAAAAAAAACATGATTATCAATTATATTCGGATAATGAACATCATTTTGCCGAAGAAGCTAACTCATCTGCACCATTAACAACTAGGTTAATTGAAAGGACTGAAATCCACTCAAAAGAAACAAAGCGATCTGCAGGGTTTCTAAAACGTAGAGGATAGCACTGATGGTTACTAGGCATGGACCATTAACAACTAGGTTAATTGAAAGGATGGAAAAGCATGATTTATGAAGCTAGAAATTTATTTTGTCTGCCACTAGACTTAGACTTAAAGGAAAATTTTAGAAGATGGTAGTGAGACTTGCAATGCTCAATGGCGCAGAATGTTGGCCTTTAAAAGAGAAGCATAACACAGTTAAGTGTTGCTGAGATGAGAATGCTTAGCTGGATGAGTGGCTTGAAACTTAGAGATAACATGTGAAATGAATATATCTGTGATAGGGTTGGTGTAGCTCCAATGGTGGACAAAATTAGAGAGAGTCGTCTTAGATGGTTTGTCACATTAAAAGGCACATTAAAAGGTGACCATCTTATGATCCGGTTAGGAGAATAGATGTTTTAGATTCGACTTACATTAAGAAATGCAAAGGTAGACCTAAAAATACTTGGGCATATTGTATAAAAAATGATCTTAATCTATTAGGTATAAATGAAAATATGACACTCAATAGGGCGCAATGGAGAAAAAGGATTCATGTGAGAAAAAGGATTCATGTACCCGGTACCCGACCCCACTTAATAGGATAAAAGCTTGTTGTTGTTGTCTTTGTATTCAAACTCAAGTTTGAGACTAAATCAAGAGAGTAAGATAGTGTCACATGTTAAAGTTCCTATATTTTATATGTTGGTTATAACAATTTCCTATTTCGTTCAACCTTGGCACAGATTATGCTCAATACAGAGTTTAGGCATTCAGTTTCATTGAGTTCTTCATCAAAATAGAGAGAGAAACCAAAAAATTGAATGAAGCTGAATGACAAAGCCCATGTTATTGAGTTCCTCTAATACTCAATCTACAGAAGAAAACATGCGTAATAATTAAATATTTTGATGATCAAATAACAAAACGCATATCAAAACCTTCGAAGAACTGGAAGTAAATAATCCTAATAATAAGATTAAGTCCATTTTCTTAGCACAACAAAGTGTTGATTTGAATTACATAAAAAATTTATAAAAGTAGCAAATGAAGTGTTGATTTGAATTACATAAAAAATTTATAAAAAATTTATAAAAGTAACATAAAAAATTTATAAAAGTAGCAAATGACAATTTTCCAAAGAGAGCGTTGCAAGCAAAGTATAAACTAATTTCAAAATGAGAGATTAGACTGAAAAAAAAAAAAAAGAATTTCCTCCCTACTTTTAAATTGTCTATGTGAGGGGTATATCACCATCCTCATTATGAACAAAAGTAATAATAGAACCAAAGAGGTATATGTTGTTCTAACAAAGATAAAGTAATGTTAATCGTAGTTATAATTTGTGATGTTCTTATTTTTTTTCATCTGCAAAAACAGTGCAAACCATGCATCTCACAAAATTCTTAATCTAATAGTTTTTTTACAACAACATCTAGTGTGTTAAGTGAAATAAGATGGTTTATTTACAAGTGATTTATGCCTAAGAGCCAAAAATTTAATATTAACAATAATCATGGAATATTGGCATCATTATAAAGTGGGTGGGAATTTGAAATAATGTCACATGATTCATGTAGAATAAATTAAGCATTAGTGCATATATTAATCAGCTACATTAGAAATAAAGATTATTTAGCATACCGTTACAAGAGGCTTTCCTTGTGGTCGGTCCAGTAATGCACTGTGCAACTTCTCAACACCATATATCTGAAAGAATTGAAGCACGTTTAGAATATCTGATTGGGTATTTGGGCGTATCAAGTGGTTCACTATGCATTAGTTGTCATGTTTCTGTACCTGTATATGATTAAGACCATGCATAAAAGCATGACAGACATTCCCAATAACCGGAACAGTTAAAAATTGAAGAAAACGAACAATGGTGGATTCATCGGATTCAAAATCCTTTCCAACTGCCAATAGTACAAGAAAATTAATAACAGGAAACTACATGGTAAAAAACAATCTTCTCTCAAATATGCAGAGGAAAAAAAACACTCCATAATTAACGCAATAGAGAAATATATAAGCTAAGCTCTAAAAAAGTAAACCCTCATAACACTTTTTTATTCCACTCGAAAAAATAATCATGCGATCACAGCCAAGCAAAACTGGATAAATAAAAAGTTTATTATTCAACAAAAGCAACATAAAAGTCTCTCTCAATCGACCACACTTAGCATTTTACAACTTGTCGAAGCCAAAACAGTATTTCAACAATAAGCGACCATTCAATATCCGTGAGAAATAAAGGAAACATTGCAAATAATACCTAGAAACAATACTTTAGCAGATTACTCAGTCATCCCACCGCAAAAGACAGAAGTCAACAATAGCTTACCGAATCTTATAGCTAAAAACAATAATTAATCGTCTTATCAGCAAGAGCTCAAGTACTAACATATCAATTCCCAAACAGTTTCTGCAGATTATAGATTCTACGTAACCAAAGAAGAGAAAAAAGCACCTCGCTTCCTATAGAACCTCACGGATGACCGATTGGCCGACGACGAATCCCTCCATAAACGGAGCACCCATCGACGGATAGCCACGGAGTAATCGGATTCAACCTTCCATCGACGGTGCAGGTCAACCGCAACGCGGAAACGGTCACGTATCCGCAGCTGTAGAGCTCGCGCACGATCCATCCATATTGTTCCCTCGTGGTCGATCCATCCACCCGCCATAGTCTTGATAGCCACTCTTTACCATATGTCAGAACAAAACACGAGTAGTAGTCGTCTTGGGTTGTAGGGTTCCGAAGGAAGCGCCGGCTGAAGAGAGAAGAAACAGAGTGAGGCCACCCCTGGTTCTCGCATAGCCTCTAGAAGGAGCCTTTCCGCTTTAGCCGCAAGGAAAGCTTCTAAACCCCAGGTAAACCAAATAGGACCGGATTTAAAGTGGCCCTCAATGCTGGGCCCGATAGCCATAACTAAAGCGCTTTGAAAGTGGGCCTTCTTGATATTGGGCCCATCTGGCACACACGTCCAGATCAGAATTGTTAATCGTTGAATCATTGGCAATTTTTTTTAATATGTATTTGATCTATTATAGTATATAGTTTGAAGTGAAAATATTTTAAAGTAAATTATTTACATACTAGGATATTTAAATTTTTATATGTTTTATGCATATTAAAATAAGTTCCATAAATTTATTTTATGCATATAAAAATAAGTCCAATAAATTGATTTTTAAATGTTGTCTTTGTAGTTTGAATACCTTCAATGATAGTTGGTCTTTAGATTTTTATGACTAGTGATCCATGAAGTTTTGCTCGAATTTATTTCTTCATTCTCAATCACTCTTAAGACTTTCCACAATACAGACAATAGCAATATTTCTCTCCACCACCGAAACTTATTTTCATCAAGAGCATCAGCAACTTCTCCCAAATCCCGCATGTTATTGTATGTTACTTGGCCTCCAACATTCCTTATCAATTTTTTATGGTGCATACTTTAAAGTGAAACTTGTTATCCTTATTATGTAAGCCGCTTGTGAGATCTCCCCTTTTATGAGGATAATAACCAAGTTGAGCTTCATTATGTTGTCCAACCTTTTATGTTTCTCGTCAACTCATCGAATAGATGCCACAGACCACTGTATTTGAACGCTCATTTTTTTTATCTTCTTCTATCTCCTCCTAAAAAAACAAATGATTAATTTAGATTGTCAATTATCTCTCGACTTTACTTCTTCTCACTTGATGCATACAAATGATCAATGTTGGATGCATATCAATTATAAACATTTAATGACAATCTTATTGGTTGCTCTATCTCTCATTATATAAAAACAAAATGGCCAAAATTGCAAACCCATAGTTTGAAAAGCTATACACCCTGACTACATGAAATTTGATCGAAAGATAAGAAAAATCTATTTGACACATAAGATAAAAGTTCATAGACAAATAATACGAACAATAAGAAAAAGCAAAAAAAAAATAATATTAATATTTATTCTACACATAGAGCTCATATAAAGTTGAGAGATAATTGGGGTTAAGCATCTTCTCAACTGGTGATTCTACGAATAGATGATTCTACGAGAGACTTTAAATACTTGAACGAGTGATTCTACGAGAACTTTGTGAACATTCTTAAATAGATGAAAAAATTATTAGTACTTTTTTTATTATTATTGAGAAACACTTTACCATTCACAACTAACAATCATATCATATCAAATATGTCAGGTGATATTCCCCACTCCCCCCCCACCCCAGAGTTTGGAAAGCTATCACCCTGACTACATGAAATTTGATCAAAAGATAAGAAAAATCTATTTGACACACAAGATAAAAGTTCAGAGACAAATAATACGAACAATAAGAAAAACAAAAAAAAAATAATATTATTTATTCTACACATAGAGCTCATATAAAGTCGAGAGATAAATGGGGTTAAGCATCTTCTCAACTGAGTTAGAGAGACTTTAAATACTTGAAGGAGTGATTCTACGAGAACTTCGTGAACATTCTTAAATAGATGAAAAAATTATTAGTACTTTTTTTTTTATTATTGAGAAACACTTTACCATTCACAACTAACAATCATATCATATCAAATATGTCAGGTGATATTCCCCACCCCCCACCCCATAGTTTGGAAAGCTATACACCCTGACTACATGAAATTTGATCAAAAGATAAGAAAAATCTATTTGACACACAATATAAAAGTTCAGAGACAAATAATATGAACAATAAGAAAAACAAAAAAAAAATAATATTATTTATTCTACACATAGAGCTCATATAAAGTCGAGAGATAAATGGGGTTAAGCATCTTCTCAACTGAGTTAGAGAGACTTTAAATACTTGAAGGAGTGATTCTACGAGAACTTCGTGAACATTCTTAAATAGATGAAAAAATTATTAGTACTTTTTTTTTTTATTATTGAGAAACATTTTACCATTCACAACTAACAATCATATCATATCAAATATGTCAGGTGATATTCCCCACTCCCCCCCCACCCCAGAGTTTGGAAAGCTATCACCCTGACTACATGAAATTTGATCAAAAGATAAGAAAAATCTATTTGACACACAAGATAAAAGTTCAGAGACAAATAATACGAACAATAAGAATTACATTGTAACTACCCTGGGACCTCTTAGTCCCTCTAGAGTCTTCCTTTTGCCTCCTTATATATGTGTACTGTGATGGTTAATAGTATGGAAGAAATTCCACTTAGCAATATTATGAATTACACCTTTCTATATTTTCTTCTTTCTTTCTTATACTAATCGTTGTAGGTTCTTTGTATAATATTCCTTCTTTCCTACACCAATCGTTGCAGGTTTTCTTGGAATCAAATACAGACTATTCCAGCTTCCTGACAAGGTTGAAACGTTGTTGACTCTAAGGTTTCTTCTCTCCATTTTTGAATCTTCCTCCCCGCCTATGAGCACCTATATCAAGCTGCCCTTTCTCCCACTTGATCCAAGCTTCATCCATGCTTTCGTTAATACACTGTTGCAACCATGTCTCAAACAACCAACTCCTCCACCAACATATTAGAGGCGCCCTCTTCAACTTACATAAACAACATAGTAATCCCAGTAGCACTTAAATTCCTAATTTCTAATGTAAAAACCATAGCCAGCGTCCAGCCATCAAGTCATAACTATCCAACATGGATGTCTCAAATAAACAAACTATTAATTTCTAATGTAAAAACCATAGCCAGCGTCCGGCCATCAAGTCATAACTATCCAACATGGATGTCTCAAATACACAAACTATTTAAAGCCAACAGCCTTGACAACTTCTTGGAAGGTATTGAAATTTATCCTCCTCGACAAACTTCAACACCCAAATGGTAACCTCTACACAAATCCTGACTTCCTCCAATAGCAATTGATTGATCAAAATCTATCTGTCGCTATATACTTAATAATTTCCCCATCGATTCTTCCCTAAATTCTCAACATGGAATCATCAACTGAGATTTGGAGCACATTTGCCAAACGCCTTCAAAAAACCATCGATCCACAAAAATGCAATTGAGAAATACTCTAACAGAGTATCTCAATGAAGGATCTCATTATGTCTCAATACTTGCTTAACATCAAGGCATTAGTGGACAATACAGTCGTTGTCGGAGGATACATCGACACAGATGACATTATCTTGCACACCCTCAATGGTCGACCATCCAATTATCAGTCATTTAAGGCTGCCCTTCGAACAAGGTCAGAACTCATTCACTTTCATGAACTCGACTCTCTATTGTGCAACAAAGAAACAAATATTACTGTCGAACAAGCCAAAGAAGCCAATGCACTGCCATTGCACTCTACTCATCTACCAAGAAGGGGGGGCGTGGCATCTTTTGAGGACGTGGTTGGAACAATAGAGGCAGACGAAATACTGCTCATTCTGAATCTGGAAGGGAGGCCGAAACTCTTCCTTGCCTACCTCAAGAAACACATGTTAAATCTTGTGAAAAAATTGAAAAAATTGGACACACGACTATAAATTGTTGGCATCGAAACAACTTCAGTATCTATCCATCTCCAAAATCCGACACAGCTTCTAACCACCACAAAATCTGACGAATGAATACTGGACAATGGAGCCACATCTCATCTCACATCCACCTTGGAGAACCTACAACAACCTATTCCTTATCAAGCTACTAACACCATATCTGTTGGCGATGGCTCAAATAATCCAATTACATACATCGATCAAGGGTGCTTCCTACCCCTCAAAGTATGCTCATTCAACTAAATCTCTTATATTCACCTCATCTTGCTCATAGCTTCATATTCACCCATAAGCTTACTTCTGACAATGATTGCACTATCATTTTCACTAAATCCGGCTTCTTATCAAGGATCAGAGGACAAAAAAGCCAATTCTTCAAAGACCATCTAGAAATGGTTTTTATCCATCAAAGCTCTCTCTATCGCACACAATCTCTCCATTCTACCTTCTCAACTTTGGCAAAGATGCATGGGACATCCTCATCTAGAAGTCACGACTCACATATCCAAACTTGATGGGACAATCATCAAATTCACTATGAATTTTCCTTGTAGTGAATGTATTTCAAAAAAATGTCACCAATTACCCTTTTCTAAATTTACTTCTACATCTAAGACACATTCTGCAATTTTTCAGTATGATGTATGTGGTCTTCTACCGATTACTTCTTTACGAGGCTACAAATATTAAATATCTTTAATTGATGACTACACAAGATACTGTCAGACATCCCAATGTGTGCTAAATATGGAACCACCGTGATTATAATAACTTTTCACGAATTTATTAAAAATCAATTCAACACAACATCAAAACCTTCCGCTCTGACGAAGGTGGTGAATACATCTCTCAAAATCTCAAATAATACCTTCTCTCCTAAGGCAATCAATATCAATTTTTTTATAACCAACACCTCAATAGAATGGGGTTGTCGAACACAAACATAAGCGTCTCATTGAAACAATAGAAACTTTTTTACTAAATGCTCACCTTCCTCCAAATTATGGGTAGCTCTTACTACAACAGCCCACCAAATCAATCATGAACCCTCTGAAGCAAAACTACAAATCACCCTATGAACTATTACATCACTCGCCGCCCACCTTCGCCAATCTCCGCACATTCGGTTGCTTATGATTTCCGTGACAAAAACCTCTCATTTCAAATAAAGTCCTACCTACCGCTCCATCATGCATCTTCAATGCATATGCTCCCAACTATAAAGGTTATTGTAGCTATTGCAATATTCAAAATCATAAATCATCACTTCTCTTAATGTCCTTTTCAATGAAATCTCCATTCCAGGTGTATCTAAACCTGCATTCATACCCGAATCTCCTCTTCCTACTCCA